AATGAGGAGTTCAGTCTCACGCCATAAGGGAAACTTTTCGATCTATGAGTGAGCCATGTAAAATTTTCACAATTAACTGGATATTAGTATCGAAAGACAGTTCTCAAGTAAAGGAATGCTAACTTTAACAAACTGGTGTCAATAGGTAAAATTTTTCTACATATGGGTTTATGGAAACAAAATTTGATGTCCGAGTAAATGGAGAGGACGCACTCTAGTTGCATGAGAGCCAAGTCGGCACTGAGGGGAAACTTCCCGTTGGCCTGGCCGCTCTCCCTTCGATCGACCTGTCGGAGTCGCACCTGTTGAGCTTCAGTTCTCGGCCGCTCGAGGACAACTCTGCTTCATGAAGATAACTTCCGCTGAAGCAGGCGCTTGTTTTCTGAGTTCATGGTTTCAGTCTTCTTCAACATTGATAAAAAACTAAACTTGGTAAAAAATATTAAAACATTGTAATTCATTACAATTTATTTGTTTATTGGACCCACGGGATTTCAATAGTATTATATAGAAGCAAACAGATGGAAGCTTCATTCACAACATTTATTGCTCCTTATAATTTTGTTCATTCACCTGCCACCTGCTCTTGTGCACATCAGTTCTATATCAATAGATAAGAGGGAAAGAAAACAATGCTTCATTCACAAAGATCCACTTCAAAACACCCACTGCCTCCTTTCATAAATTCTAATCAATGAACGTTTGCCTTGACGTAGTATCAGCGTTGAGTAGGGAATCTTTAAGCGCATATATTTGCTCCAGACATTGCTTTTTTATCGTGGTGCATGATAAGCTATCAGTCAGGATGATGTTCGAGTATTTCATAACAGCGATACAGTTGGTACCTCTGACACATCCACGGAACGTCGCGAGTTGTGAGGCTGTTGTGAGTGCAATGGAGCTGAATACATAGAAATTAGTTCTAGCAAGAGTTATTTGACTTATTTCAAAAAAGTGTTTTTTTAAACCTGAAATAAAATATGCTTAAGTGTCGATCTTACACTGGTTGACGTTACTCAATGTATTTCTACTCTATGATGTTATTAGATATTATTTGAAATAAAACTTAATAGTAAAATCGATACATATTTGCATTGATTATAATCTATCTGCTGAAAAGGACATTCACAAATTTCTTTCTACGCACGAAATCATTTACAGTGCGTTAATGGTGACAGCTAACAAACTGTACAGTTTCGATCATAGTTTCCCTCGAATGGCGTAAAAAACTAAACGAGAAAGAATGTCTCAAACAAATGCCTACGCATCAATAAACGATACCATTGCTGTGTCAGGTTTATTCAAATGAGCTGGTGGTTAAGTTACACAATGATTATGACTGAAAAATACAATGCCTAAGCATAACTGCAAGTGTCTCATCGTGAGCTACAAATTCTAACACACATTTTTCTGAACATCATCATTCCATATTCGTTTGTATGATCATTTTATATTCGTATTCACCACCCATAAATTTCTCATCCTATGCTTCAACCCTTGCATCATCATTCTACCCAAGTACTTCATTCCATGCATTATTTTTCCATTCATATTCACATCATCCCTAGCATCATCATTCCCTTCACATGCATCATCACTTAGCATCCTAATTCTATCCAGGAGCTGCATACCTTAATTGTTCAGTCATTCTATTCGTGTGCATCATCCTTTTCATTACCATCCAATTGTTGTGTATAATCATTTGGGTCAACATTCTATCATAATACATCATCCTTTGCTTCATCATTTTATTAAAAAGAAAAATACCCATGCATCATCATTCCATTCATATACATCGTCCATTGTATCACCATACCATTCACATGCATCATCCCATGCATCATCATTTCATTCATGCGCATCATCCCTTGCATCATCATTCCATTCACTTGATGATGATTCCCTAATAACTTCATTCTATTCGTGCCCAGTGAGTCACCATGAAATATTTGTAGCTCTGTTCTATTTTATACGTGTGTACACACTTATTGATTTCATTGTAGGCCAAGCCACAGTAATCCTGCTGTCGGCAGTGCCAGCCGTCACGCACGTCAAGCAGATTTATCGTCAAGTGTGTGATAAAAAGAGCCTGCTCAAGTGAACGCATGGACTTTTATGCAAACAAATCTGTATTATAAGAGGCATACGCACATAAGTTGAGACAGTTTAACATGGAACTTGTTCATTATTTTGTGGTTTTAGAAATAAATCCTTACCGAAAGAACCCTGCCAACGGTTAGCGGAAAAATTTCATGCAACTTGTTTGATTTGTTCTATATAGCAGGATTTTTGATAGATTTGTATCTTTGTTTTACAAATTCATTACCAACGACTATTCATTTATTTTGTGCTTCGGCATTCATCAATGAGAAACGGTTTGTGAACTTGACTATTACTCAGTTTGATTTAAGTGTTAGACTAATGAAAAGACCACGACTCTAAAATAGTCGACTATTCTTTAAAAACAGCTCGTAACACAGGCCCAGTGACAAGCTAAGATATGTACAATGTACTTGAGATCTTTTAGACGATTAGTCAGTAATCAATCAGAATGTACTCTCTTGAAAACTTTCGATGGAGTTTTATTATTTTCTTGCATCAGTTTCGTTACAAGTTGAAGCGAGGGTGTCGGTGTCATGAAACGTAGCAAAGCTTCTCGTTAACGTTAAAGACATCGTATCTGCGTGCCAGATAAGACCACGACACTGTAACTAAATTTTCAAATAGATACTCGTATGTATTGACATAAAACTTCGTTCCCGAAATTTAACTTGGGTTTCGGTAGTTTTATTAATGAGGAACAAAATTGTTTATTATCTTATCTATGTTTACACATTTTAATACAAGTTTCATTAAAGACCAGAGAGTAAATTTATTGACGATTCTCGTTTTGCTTTTCTATACTTGCAAAGAAAACTTGCTATACTTTTTGTGGGATTTGAAAGTTCAGCAATAAGATTTTCGAGAGACATTTTATTAAAATTTATGACGTTTTGAGCATGCATTATTCATTATAAAATTGATGAAGAATTATTTACCACGCTTGAATTAATTTAAATTTGGAAATGACAAAGGTACACACAAAGGGTATCTTAATTGGATACGGTTCAGCATCGAATCCTAAATTACTCAACTCAAATAATTTCATCTTCCTGACAATTTCGGTGGTTTGCAAATTGACAGCATGAGACTCATACTTGATGATGAGAGCCTCTGCTATCGGTCTCGTTGAGGGCCTCCCGCATACGATTCTTTGGTCCTCCAGTTTGCAGATGGCGTGTGAGTCTGCGGCTCAATGTCGTGCTGGTCAAATCAATGTAATTTACATTCTGGAGAAGTTTACAACCTTCCTCCAGAAGGGAAAATCTGCAATATACTTAGGTTTTTTGTGGCGATCCGGACCTTTTACACGGATTATTGAATAAATACTTTATCTCCTTGTTTCTGTAATAAATCGAGTTTGATTTACTTTTAACCGTTAATTGGGGCACCTCCATGCGGTGTCCCAACGCTACGAGACTGGCGAAAGCAGAAGCTCGATTTTGTAATTTAGGTTCCGATGTTGCACCGTATCTAAGATACCCTGTGTATGTACCTATGTCATTTCCGAATTTAAATTCAAGCGTTTTAAATAACTCTTCATCAAGTTGATAATGAATAATGCAAGCTCAAAACATCGTAAATCCTAATAAAATGTCTCCCGGAAACCTTATTGTTGAACTTTCAAATCCCACAAAAGCCTGATACACCAAGTCGAGAAAAGATATAAGAAAATCGTCAATCACAGGTGGCCCAGTGTTTAAAGTTCAGAGTACCAAGATTGGAGCAGAGAGACGCGGTATTAACATTGCTTAGCAGTGTTGTTATGAAATATTTCAAATTAATAAACCTCACAGAAAGTTGTACACCTGGTACTTCACACTAACATCTAAGAACAATTCTTGCTGCAATGACGAAACATCTACCAAAATTCTACAGCAACGGCAAATTCACGTGTGTTTCTCCAGCACTTGAATCAATACATTTCTTAAAGCCCTTTGAACATTTTAATTGAAATTTACGACAAAGTATCTATTCCTGAGTCTCAGATTTATTGTTATTTACCTAATTATTTGAATTATACTTATACCAGACATGAAATATCTGCTTCAATTGACCATGGGATAAATAAAAGCAATTGATATTGACATAAATTTTAAAAATAAGAATATGCATAATTGCTCATGTATACCAGCATTACGCACGCATGCTGCGGGCTGCAGGCGACCATTCATGTTGGTTGCCTTGGAACAATATTGGAATACGTAAAATTAAATGGCTACATCAATTTTGATAATAAAGTTTGCTCGCAATAACTTAGTTACTCGTGAATGCTGAATTTATCTTCGAGACGTTACACAAATGATGGCCGTAATACCATATATGTCGAAGAAAAAAAAAGAGGCAGCATCTGCTACAAGAGATTTATTGATCACAGACAAGCGACATTAAAATGTATACAATGTTTCTCGCATTGGATATTCCTCATATACAAGTTCAGTTCCTGTAGTTGCTGTAAATTGAAAAATTTTAAATACAAATGAAGTTGAAAGACAAAAATTATACGCCATGTCTACTTAAAACGGCAAGAAATGTTATTTTCCTTTTCTTATTTCACTCATGGGTTACTCTGCAATTATACGTGTACAGTTAAATTTTGAGGAAGACGCCCAGGTGAAATCGCCCATGTATTAGTGCAATATTTATAACAGAGGTGAAAAAATCGAATCCTTGAAATCTAGTCATCACATGATGGGATTGATTAAAGACTGCTTGCAGGCAACAATATTGACGAGGGCAATAGTTATATGCATAATAGTATCGAAAATATAGTTATACATGCATCAATTATTTTTGGTATCAGTCATCAAAAGATTATCAAGGGCACGTCAGTATAAAGCACTATTCACACTAGAAAAATTACATCAACGTATGTAGAACTGGTAGAGGTACTGATGAGAAAGATAAGCTCCGTCAATCTCGACCGTGTTCGTTACTTGTTGGTCCAGTTCAAGTCTACGACCATGCAGAACTGGTAGAGGGTACTGATGACGAGCAAAACCAGCAAGACCAACATGGCCCACATGAAGATATAGAGAGCAGAAGCGTAGCCATCGAATGCTTCATCTTCTTCTGCAGCCGATAGCGTAGGTCGCATCTTGACCTGGCAAACAAGTAAGTAAGGTACGAGTAGAAAAGCTGTTTTTAAAATTTGCTTTTACATTAAATTTCAAAAGCCTAAAAGTTCTATGAGACAGATTCGCTTCTTATTGCCAAAATAGTTTCCTAAGAGCACAGTAACTATTTCTTGACTTATTTATTTAAACTTATATTTAAACCTATTTATTCTATAACTTTTTGTGATCTAGGAAGGACTTTTAGATATTTAAATACAAATCAATATTATTACATCAATATTATTACAAATCAATATTGAAAAAATATTATTATTGACAAGTGAAAAATCACTTTTCGAAAATCTTTATCAATATTGCATTGTAATTTGTGATTACCGATTCAACACTAAATTAACAGCAATAAATAATGTACGAAATTTTTAGGTAAACAATGATCGAACAATTAATTTTGCTCAATCAGAAGTACGGCAATGTGTTGAGGCCTGACAGTAGTTACTCGGTTATTCAAATGATTCAAAGCAACTTATTACTTCATGTAATGCAACATTTTCGCAAATTATTTAATTCATTGCCTGTATTTTCTATATAGGAAGGCCAATATAAAGGTTTCGCGTGATCTGCCTCGTTAAGTATAATTATTATTTGATTATTATTAAATTCAATAATGTTACTGTATTATTTGATAGTTTGGTTTTCCCTATATAAAAATAATGCAAAGGAAATTCTGATCCAGATCGAATGGGAGAAGGCAACTTTAATCAACGGAAGTTCGTAAATTTCAGTAGCATTTTCCACATCCCTCTTTTAACTTTTTTTTTAAACTTATGGCTTCCACCTTGATATTTAAATGCAAGCATTTAATGTATACCGGTGTAGAATGGTTAGACTGTAACGCTCACTGGCGTTAATGTTCACCGCGCCACTCTACAATGATGTAATATATGTTTCGTTCTCCATTGACTTGGTATGTTTCGTACTTAATACAAGTAGCCTGAATACCGATTAGCATTTATAGGCAAAATTTGGTTTGTATCATTTATGATACACCGTGTTTTTAAGGGTTAATACAAGAAACCCGAAATTAGTTCAAGCGGTCATATTTCCTCCCAAAAACAATCGTAACAGATTTACGACCTTCACCTACCCCTGAAACCCGCCTAAGTCGAGTGCTCACCTTCATTCTGCATCTCCCGTCCAAATGGGAAGAGTCGGGAAGCTGAGAAGTCGAAGCTCTTCTTTTCTTCAACATATTATTCCGCTCCTGAGCCTCGGCTCGTCTCGCCGCTTTTAGTCTCTGCTCGAGAAGTGCCCATTTATCATTACATTTCAACTGCTCAATCAACTTCAACTTGTCCTCGCAGGCTTGCTTCTTCTGCTCTTCTCTCCAGAGCAAACCTCTTCTTCGCATGCGGATCATGACTCTGGTCTCGCACTATTCATTTCATTTAGTTTGAGCCTCTTGTAAATTCTCAATTCAGTTTACTAACGAGGCAACAAAGTTGCCCTTATGCAGGTATTATTCCATTCGAATTAATAAATTAAGTATCCATCTGAGGAACCTGTATTGGATTAGAGAAAACCATAAATTTCACCTCCTTAGACTGAACCGGCTGAGGTGAGCTGCATGTCGATGGGATGTGGCGAAATTATGTCCAATGAATAATTGTTGAAGGCTTATTAAGCTAACAGGGATAGGAGAATGAAAGCCAAAGCGGTATGAGGGTTGCGCATGTAGGAACAATAGCGGCCGCAAAAATTTACATATAAAGAAAAATATCAGGAGGACATCGGTCACGATGATTGTTATAGGTATGCAAAAGCAAGTAGACTCAATGACAGCTCCAATAGTTGTGATGTGATATAGGATTGTCGGCAATGTTATTTAAAACGCATGAAAGCTGAGCCTGTCATCATAATAGCCATTGTCGAGGAACTTTTCCCACGAACAAAACCGCCATTAAGATCGGCATCCTTAAAAAAACGGACGCCAGTGAGATTTTCACACAGTGCCACCGTCTGCAGGCGGTGGCACTAATGGTGTTGAATCTGATAAAGTTGACCATAGATGGCTTACAGATGCACCGTGTAGACCAAGAGGATAAAGACGAAAGAAGGCGGCGCAATAGTTCTCCTCAGTAATTCACAAAAAGGTGTTGCTCTATATTGCTGACTTTAATTTCTGTGTACCTTTTACATTTTGATCACCTGCTGTCCCCTTGAGAAAATTCAATGAAGTCCTCGAGTTAATGAAAAAGGAGATGGACATGTGGGCGAACCCAGACCCTAATATTGTGATCGTTTTTTTTTTGAACTGCATGGTGTATGATGGTCACAGCTGGACTGTTTTGGGAGGCAGGAGGGTCGCTCAGATCTCAGACCTTGATAAAAATTCAAGCAACGAAGCTAATATAAACTACTAAAAATTGATAGAGCGAACCTGCACAGGAATTGGAAAAACAGCAATTGTTAGTCACAAGGGAACACAATATTCTGGATCCTTTATTCACTAGGAATGAAGAACCAGTGCTGGTGCTTCCTCAGTTGCAGCATGGATCGACGGGAGCGCAGCCGTGGGTAACAAAATTGACTCATATACAGGCCCTGGGCCCAACGCCAATCATCAGCATGCAATATCTACTTATAACCTCAGATCAATGAGCTGTGGGTAACTCTGGCTAACAGTAAATCCGCTTTGCATAACACAGCCACTGCTTCACAGCGCCGGAGCACAACTGGCCCAAGTCCACAGTGCTATTCATATACCTTCCCGATCGTAACGCAGCCGGGCATCTTCACGGCTCTTGACACAAAGCCCCCACCACAACAGC